CAGGTCTATCTTTGTGAAGATCTTGACCTTGAACAACGTCTCCCTGAGCTCGCTCATGATAGGCAGCGGGTACTTGTCCTTGACAGTGACCTTATTCAAACCTCTGTAGTCAACGCAAATTCGCCATGTCACATCCTTCTTAGGTATGAACAATATGGGCGCCGCTGCTGGGTTGTTAGATCTGGAGATCTTACCCAAAGACAACTCCTTGTATAGGTACTCTCGGAGGGCCTTCAATTCTGGAGCGGAACATGGGTAAAGCGGGCCAAATGGGGGAGCGGTACCAGGCAAGAGATTGATCTTCAAATCATTCCGGGAGTGCGGGGGCAGCTCCTGTATCTTCTCTTGACTGAATACATCAGCCCATTCCCTATAGCGGAGAGGTATCCTTTCAGAGATATCTCCTCCATCTTCATCATGCCATACTGAAGCGGCCAGTTGATACACTACATCTTCTTCTTCCATCAGTTGGTATGAAGAGATGAGTTCAAACTTGATTGCTGCTGGGAGACAGTTCTGCTTGCAGTACAGTCGCTTCGACTTCAATGGCGGAACGGGTTCATTGACGAATAGGGTGGGTCGCTGTGGCTAAAACATTATGTGGTCCGTGCGTATAATGGAGTTAGGGGGCGACCGACTCTGATAATGGTTGCAAATCATTGTTGGTTCACCCTGGCAACCGATAATGATTGCAAATCATTTCTGGTTCACCCTGGCAACCGATCATAACTGCAAATCACTTATAGTTGCCCTGTTGCCCCCGGGTTCCATGATCCAAACCATCACCACAACCACAACAACCACAACAACGGCCCCTACAAAATGGAAGCTCCCTATGGCTATACAGCAACTGGTAGAATCAGAAAAAAACCTATCAAAGGGACTGTCCCTCTGGCAGCTCCTGTGAATAACCCTCAACTTCAAGTTGAATCTGAAAAACCCGAAAAGTTTATTAGGTGTCCTGTTACCACCTGCAACAAAGACTTTCAGCACCGGAAAGATCCTCACAAAGCTGTTTGGCAACATCTCCTGCATCATGCAAATAGCTATGTGGGTGACCCGGATCATAAGACTGCATATAGTGCAATTAAAGAAAAAAGAAAGGCTGAAGCCGGTATGTATAAATTAATATTCTATTTTTGATATCAGTATTAACAATAATGATAGGGGATAAGAAAACCCGGGAGAAAAGGAACTCAGCTAGATGGAGAGCAAGAAATGCTAGGAAAGCAAAGCGATCATCGGCTATGGGAACAGCAAAGCGCAAGTTTGAGATTCAATTGAGAAGAGCAGGGGAATTCACGGAGGCGGCATTGAAGAAATTGGTTGATGATAAGATGGCAGAATGGGATTTGAATAATTAGTTAACCTGTAAAGAAAACCATTTGTTATTCATGATATTCATTGTCCGTATGCTATAAAATTAAACTCATGTTCCCAGTGTTAAGACCCATGAGAATCACTCGATTTTGCCTGAAATTGACTTCCCATATGCAACACATCACCTGAATCCTGGTTCGGAGATAGACAATTGTTTGATTCTTGGCGGTAACAGTAAGCGAATAGGGAACTGAATGTTTGTTTGCACTTTCCTTCTCCTACTATCACGATACTATCAGAATGTCAGAACGCGTCTCAACAACAGTTCAAAATGTCTTTCCATTGTCGGATTTTCAGGGACGCGATCCTAATCCACTGCCAACAATTCCTTCACAAGCATGCACAAAGGCCGAAGTGGATCACGATAAGAGTTATACCAAATATGAACGTATTGCATTCGGCCTAGCACATTATCATGCTGAGCTACACGCATACACTCAATCCATTGCAGATCCGGATAGCAACTCTATTCAGAAAAAACCTATTGTATTACAGATTGCGAAGATGTACGATATCCCGGAATCAACTTTACGGCGACACATCAAAAACCCTGCAAGTAGAAGCATCGCTGAGGCAAACAAAGATAAACAGATTTTGTCTGTTGAAGAAGAAAAGGTTCTGGTCGAAAGGCTTTTATTTCTGGATGATTTCAATATTCCAGCAGACAAATCCTTGTTTTTCGATCTTGCACACAAACTCCTACACCGACGCGATCCCAAACGAATGATTGGAAAGGATTGGTTTTATAGTTTTTTGGCGAGGCACCCAGAATGCAGATACCTAACCGTCAAATCCATTTCCACGAATCGAGCCAATGCTGTCAACTACAATGCACTCAACGATTTTTTTATTAAAGTACGTAATATCAATAGTACATTCATTGAATTCGAACTAAATTGTATTTTCAGTTGCAATACACAATCGATAAATACAAGATCATTCCGAAAAATACATACAATATGGACGAGACAGGATTTATTCTAGGCATGGGAGACGAAGTTAAACGAATATGTCGGAACATCAGAAAAGATTCGGTTTACAAAGAGTTCAAGAATCGGGAATCATGCTCTGTTGTCGAATGCATATCAACAGATGGATTCACTGTTACACCGCTTGTAATTTTTAAAGGTAGCAATCATATCGCTGCCTGGTTTAAAGATGCCAAACTAGAATCTTATTGGTACGGGCATTCACCAAAGGGATACAATAACAGTGTATTATGCCTCGAATATCTTCAGAATATATTTGAACCGGAAACATCTAACAGGTCAAACGGTGAGTGGAGATTATTGATTTTTGATGGTTTCGAATCACATCTCCAGCTTGAAATTATTGAGTTTTGTCTTGATAATAAAATTATACCCCTGTGTTTACCGTCCCATACATCACATGTGTTACAACCGTTAGATGTTGGGGTCTTTTCTCCTCTAAAGAAATATTATCGGCAAGAAATATCCAAACTACGTTCTCCTATTACTAAAAACAACTTCCCTAACCTCCTGGCATTGGCCCGTCAAAAGGCATTTTCTGTTTCCAATATACAGTCTGGTTTTCGGGCTTCTGGAATATACCCTTATAACCCTACCGTTGTTCTTAATATTTTAACAAAATCAAGTGAAGAAATTCACCTATCTACACCACCCGAACAGGCATGTCCTATTCCCGCACATTTACAGGCCCCTATCAATCTCATAAATTTCAATCCTCCTACTCCTATAACCCCGCGAGGCCTGAATAGTCTTTATTTGGAAGCTCGTGCAACATATGGTACATCAAATAGCCCGTCAATGATTAAGCTACAAACAATCATAACGAAGTTCAAGAATGCAGCTGAGAGGAACAGTGCCCAGGTAATAATGCATGAGGCAGGGGAAGCTCATTTGAGGGAGGTTATAAAGCAAAAGAATAGGGATCAGGAAGGGAAGCGAGATACTCGACATTTGAATACTGGGGCAGCATGTGTGATAGAAAGAGATACTGTTTTATTGGAGTTGAAGAAAAAAAGGGATGAACAAGAAATAGAAGAACAATTAAAGAAAGAAAAAAGACAAGAGAGACAGGAAAGAATAGAGCAAAACAAACGGGCAAAGCAGGAGGAAAAGGAACGCAAAGCGGTTGAACGGGAGAAAAAAACAGAAATAAGGCAAAAGGCATTAGAGAAAAAGGAGCAGGAAAAACAAAAGAGACTGGAAAGAAAAGACTGAAATCCTCTAGCATGTATTTTGAAGAGTTGAACCCAGCTACATAGTGTTATTTTTAAATGTTTTTTCTTTCGTTGCTAAGGCTCGAGTATATTTAAGCAGATAGTTATATGAGCGGCAGAATCAAGTTCAATTCTTAGCTATGTTATCAATACTACTCATCATAGAGCAAAACCGATTACAGTAGAGTCTCGATAGTAGCATTCTCGATAATAGCATATTCTCGATTGTAGCATATATTTGGGCAATCCCAAACGAGTCGGTACGGGCAAATTTGTTCTCGATACAGGCATATTCTTAATAGTGGCACACGAAAATCCGTTCCCGACCATATGCTACAATCGAGACTCCACTGTATATATTGATTCTACGCGTCTTTTAGATATAAAACTAAATGCAAAAACCAAAGCGCACCCCCGGACAGTTTGAGAGGGCTTGCTTCGCCACAAACCCAGCTTACTAAGCAGTCCCTGTGCCACAGATCCACCCAATTCGCCAACCAATCCGTCCCGCCATCGAGCTCGAAATGACTGTACAGTCAGTTGTAGTGCGGCGACGAAACGGGTCGAACGACGAACAGGGGTCTGTGCTGTGGCTTTGGTGGGGTAGGGTTGGTAGGCCCGGGGTTGGTAGGGTTGGTAGGCCCGGGTGCGAGCAATTTTTCTGTTGAAGCGGTCAACCCCAGGGTTGCTCGCACGCGTTCAACAACAGTCTCGCGTCGCCCTCCATCAACTCTCACGCAACGCAACCTATGGACTCCTCTACTGCGACACCAGTCCTTGATGCTCCCTTTGGCTATACAAAGGCTGGGAAAATTCGGAAAAGACCTGCTCCAAATAATGAAGGAATTTGCCCAATTAAAGAGTGCAAAAAGAGCTTCAGGCACAGGCCAGACCCTAAGAGTGCAGTTTGGCAGCATCTTCTTTACTATTTCCGGGACAATATCTATAAAGGCAATGGAGAAATAGCAAAAGCGCATAGGGCTGCACACCAGGTGGAAAAAATTCAACTTGCTTCAAAGCAACTTAGTAGTAAGTAATAATATTTGATATTCTGGGGTGGTAATATTTATTAGTAACTGTTCACTAGCGGAGGATAAGAAGAAACACAAAAGGCAAGCCTCCCGCAGGTTTGCTGAAAGAAATCCGCAAAAAAGAAAAGATGCAGCTGATTTAGCAGATTTTAAAGCTAAAGCAAGGAGACATTTGGGGAAGCAGCTTTCGGTTGGGGAAGTGATTGATATGGAGAAAGTTGATGAAAATGCAAATGGATGGATGGAGGAGCGAGCACTTGTTCAAGCAAACGTTACTGTTCAGAATTAGTTATATTAGTTTTTTTTTAAAGCAAATAGGTATTCCGATACGGTACTCTCATACCGGAATAATATAAAATAGGTGAATTCGTTAACTGATGTATCTTTTATACTCTCTGTCTTTTCATTTGCTTTTCAAGCTCCCGCTTATTCTTTTCCATAACTTTGATTTCCTTCTGTCTCTCCCTTTGAGCTCCACGCTCTAATTGAATCCGTAACTTCTCTTCTATCTTCCGTTGCTTCTCTATTTCTTTCTGTTGTTTCTCCTTTTCCTTTTCTGATTCCCGAATTTTATATTCATTCACCCTTCTTTCCTTTTCCTCCTGCCTCTTTTGCTTCTTCCTAATTTCTTCTTCATCTTTTTCGTCACGCTTCCGCTTCAACTCAACTAAAGTATTGTTGTCCAGTATACAAGCCGATTTGGTGTTTAAATGACGGGTGTCCTTCTTTGACTCTTTTTCTTTCTGTAATATTGCTTTTCTTATGTGTTCCTCGCCTGCGTTATGCATGATTGCTTCTGCTGCCTGCACTTGAGATGCATTGGCCAACTTCTGGAATACGACTTTTGCCATAAAGGAAGACGGACTGCTAGATCTGATCGTGGAAAGCCCTATCCGTAGCATTTGTTGAAGAGACCGTGGCGTACGTGGAGTTGGTGGATTATAAGAATAGAGATCCAAAGGTGCTCTCAAATGTGATGAAACAACCGAGTTTGAATCCAGAAGATTGATATTATCGGTAATAGTAGGTTCCGGTAATACTAATTCATCAAGTATTATTCTAGGATTGAATGGGTAAATTCCGGTTGCTCTAAATCCTGCTTCAATATTCTCCTTGCTGAGTGCTTGTTGTCGCGCTCGGGCAAGCAAAGTAGGGAAGTTGCTTTTAGTGATAGGCGAACGAAAGTTGGTAACTTCATGTTTGTAGTATTTCTTGAGTGGTGAGAAAACACCCACGTTCAAAGGCTGCAAAACATGCGAAGTATGCGATGGAAGACAAAAAGGTAGAATTTTGCTTTTGAGACAAAACTCTATTAATTCCAGTTGCATATGTGATTCAAAGCCGTCAAAAATCAACAATCTCCAATCGTTACCTGCGCTATTGATAATAGTTCAAGTTAGTTATTCGTTTCTCTTTTCTTATAGTTAGAAAATATATTATCATTATATACTAACCGATACCGTGTTTCCGGTTCAAATATTGTTTTCAAGTAATTCAAACACAATTGACTCGTGTTGTATCCCTTTGGCGAATGTCCATACCACCAATTTTCTGCATCTGCATCCGTATACCAACCAGCGAGATGATTCTGTCCTTTAAAAATAACAAGCGGTGTGACACTGAAACCGTCTGTTGCTGCAATCGATTCGATAACTGTGCAAGACTCCCTATTTTTGTATTTCTTGAAGACTGAATCTGATCTTATATTCCGGCATATACGTTTAACATCTTCGCCCACGCCTAAAATAAAGCCGGTCTCATCGAGATTGTAGGTATTTTTCGGTAAAATATTGTATTTTGTCATCGAAGCTTTAAGCTATTTTCGGGAAGAAACAGATTAATACTCTGAAATTATTAGTTTCTGAATCAAGCTTACCTTGGCGAAAAAATCATCCATCATATCCCAACTGACTGCATTTGCACGGCTAGTAGATATAGATTTTACTAACAAATACCGGCACTCTTCATGCCGGTTAAGGAATCGGTAGAACCAATCTTTACCGATTATTGTATCAGGCTCACGTTGACGTAGAATTGCGTGTGCCAATTAATAAAACTGTTCACGGCTGGCAGGAATATTAAAGTCGTCCAAGAAGAGAAGACGTCTAACCAAAACCAGTTCCTCCCCCGGTGTCAATAGTTGTTTATCAATATCGATATCTTTTCTTGTTTTTTGCCCAGGGTTCTTGATATGTCGCCTCAAAGTCGGCTCGGATATTCCATAAATTTTGGATAATTCCAAAACAACCGGCTTGGGAAAAGTGCCAGTGGGCGTCTGCAAATGTCTCGTAAGATCTGCATGATAGTGACTCAATGCTAGAGCAAGCCGTTCATACTTTGAGTAGTTGCAATTATTATCGACAATCGGTAGTTAACTGGCTAAGCTTGACTCCATCGCGAGATGCCACTGGCGATGTGTTCATGATCAAGAGGTTACACGCGAAATCTTTGTATATGTACCAAACGCGTGAATAGTAGTTCGAATAGTTCAATAATTTTATTAAATCGCTATGACCCATTTTGATTTATTTGTTGCCACCACTGGCACCGTCACACTCATATACCTGTTCGTCGTTCAACCCATTTCGTCGTTGCTCTGAAACCGACTGTAGTCACTTCGCCAGCTTATGGTATTGAGCTCCCAATTGATATCCGGGTTGTGCTTCCTTGCCCATGCAATTGGCAGGTAACCTGATATTCCTTCTTCCAAAGTAGCCACCTCCCATCGGAGTATCTCCTTGTGATCTCCCATGCTCATGTGGACTGGGTGAGTGTAATACTCTCCTCCGCCCATCATGACATCTCCTTGAGCATCATACATTGTCAGAGGTTGAGCTCGCCACACTAAGAGAACACCATGCTTCCTGACAAAACTCTTGTTGAGGATTGCTCCTGTACAACCGGTGTCAAAGAGGAATGTCCCTTGGGCGTCTTCAACTTTGTTCTTGACTGTCCATGACAGTCCTGCCTTCAGTATTGGCTTCTTGCCATGTACTGGTAAGGATGGAAGCTTCTCTTCTAACCTTCTTCGCTTCTGTGCGGGTTTGGGGCTTGATTCTCTTTGTCTTTTCTCCATTGCTAATGGCTGCGGGCACTACTAAGATCAAAGGATCCTTTGGTTCTATTCCTAAGCGATGATAGCGCAATTGTGTTTGTGTGGTAGTCTGGTAGCGGTTTGGAAGTGTCTTGTAGCAAATGTAACTTTGGCAGAGCACTTACAGACCGGCTGTTTCGGGTCATAAACCCATCCTCAGAGTGCTTGGAAACAATCAAATAGGCGGAAAACACAAAAATCTATCCAAGAGAAACAAAGAAACAAGACCAAAAGGGAAACTAGTAAACATAGACTCTAACAGACACAGTTTCTACCAGATGATTTCATTGTCCGAGTCTTGCTCAGGCTGGAAAACGAAATCTCCTGTAACCTCTGGGAGTACAACAAGTGGTTCCTCTGCTACAACAGCAGCCACTTTAGCTTTCTTCTGAGGACTGGGCTTGCCATTTCCTCTCTTCCGCTTTTGTACCCTCACTGCTGCCACTCGGACTACAGTAGGTTCCCTGTACCAACAATCGGTCCATTTGTGTCTGGACTTGCCGCACTATTGCACAAGTCAGGCTATGCACTCTACCAATAGGGAGTACCGGAAGGTCATACCTTCAAGCATACTTCTGCTTTCCTTCTTTCTTCTAGGATGTCCCCCGGGATACCCTTCAGTTCCACTGCTTTGTCCTTGGAACTGGTTTCCTTCTGAGGTTTGGAGGAGCTTGCAGCATCTCTCTTCCTCTTGGGGTGCCGTTCCTTCTCAGCAGGAGGATCTTTCTTGGTCCTGGCGGGCGCTTTCTCAGCTACCACCGTCTGATACCTCTCGTGGGTGTGTCCTAGCTCCCTTAGAGCAGCTATCCGCTCCATCAGAGACTTTGGCTTGTGGGTAAAGAGAGTCCAACTCATGCCTAGGTCCGGAAGGAGGGAACTAAGGATCTTATCATCCACTAACTGACCCTCATAGACAGTCTTCCACATCAGCTGAATAATACTATTCAGGAAGGAGTCTATTCCTCCCTTAGCTGTATGGGTAAGGGTATTCCATTGGGCTACAGCATCATCTCTAGAGATGGCTTCGCCAAAGGCTGCTCTGAGGGCATCCACAAAGGAATCCCAGCGCTTCCACCTCTCATCCAATACCACAGGCATCCCAGCTGTCCGGTTGGCAGAAGCTTGGTCAATGGAGTTGTGATAAGCTTCATACCACTTGACCGGAGCATCTCCTTCCATCAGGTTGCCAGCATAACGGATCCTGACCTCTTCAGAGGTAAAGGACTGGCTTTCAATGGAGAAAACGTTCTCAAATTGCCGGATGAAGGTTTCCACATTGTCTGCTTTGCCATTGAATTTGGCCGGAGGTGGTGCCTTGGGTTCTCGGGCCCTGGAGGCAGCGGAGGGGTGTGAGGGGGCCGGAGGTCTCATGAACTGTGCCATGGAGGCCAGCAGTTCTCTCTGTTGCTTCTCCAACTTCTTCCTGTGGTATCTCCGCCAACCTCTCCTGTCTCCATCCTCAGGCTCCGAGTCTGAACTGTCTGAATCCCCTCCTGGGTTGGGAGCGCCACCAACCGGGGGGACTATTCCATCTCCTCCACCATTACCCACTGGCTCTGGGTTCTGGTTTTCTCCACCAGGGTTTCCTTCTGGTTGGAGGCTTCTCCTAGGTGACTCCGGGGGTGGTGAGCCTCTGTGAGATTCTGGGGATAACCCCTGGCGCACCCAGGCTGGAGGAAGCCCAGAGGGACCACTCCTGACCGGTGTCTGGGAGTAGTAGTCATCGTCTCCTATTAGTTGCCGGGGGGGCCTAGCTAGGTCACCTGCCAGCGGGCTGTCTGGAGCTCTTTGAGGAGGGAGTGGTGAGCCTCCAATAGCCGATGGCATCATCAGGGGGAGTGTCCTCTGCCTGATGGACCTGACCGGAAACGCTGCAAAGGGGTTCACCTTTTGATGGAAAGTTCTCAGGGCCGCTCTGGACGAGGCCCTGGAGTTCTGCGGAGGAGCGGGGTTGGGGACAGGTGCTGGTGTGGGCATCCTGGCGATTGAGAGCCTTCCTTCATTGATGGCTCTCTGGATTTCCTCTAAGAAGCTAGGGGGCATCGCCGGGCTTGTCCATTCAATGTCCTCCATCTCATCTGTTCCTAAGTCATCTCTCTGGATATAACTCTGGAGTTGTGCCTGGACTGAGGAGACTTGGTCTCGCATGTAGCCGAAGGCGTCCCTGAGCAGGACTGCCTCAGCTTCTTGTCTTTCTTGCACCAAGGCTAGCGCATTACCGAGCTTGATGACTTCCTGTTGCAGGCTGTGCTTAAGGTACCTCTGCAACTCAGCAAAGAAGTACTGTAGGGTGACTTCGCCGGTATCTTGCCAGGTGGGGTCGAATCCGGGAATGTAGGACTGGAGCGCCGTCCTGGGCTTGTGGATCAACTGTGTCTGACCCTCTTGGAATTCTAAGGCTGCCGGTGGCCATTCAATCTGAAGAGGCACTTGGTGAGCCGGGAGGGCGGACATGTTGTAAGAGGAAAGAATAATCTGAGGGTGGTTTGAGCATTAAAGATTTTCTGCAACGGTGGCGGTCCTTTCTATGTATCGCTAGAATCCAAAAGAATAGATGCGGCCGTGCAAGATAGAAATCAGGTGCAGATTATTTCAAAGATACTATCGCTAGAACTCAATAATCTTTAAGGGCTCTACTACCGATGATTCCGAAGATGAGGATCAGGACAGTTGGGCGGGAATGATCCTGAGTACTTATACTCCAAAGGACTCTATTCTCTGCTCCTACTTCCTTACTAAGTTCCGGTGCTGCCTTCTAGTGGAAGGGAAGCAATTACCATCGCTACCCAGCTTCTCTCTAAGCGTCAGCGGGTGCTTCCAGTTCCGAAGGCAACCACCCTTAGTCAAAGCCTTTGTAACACCTGCAGCCTTGGTTGCCACACAACTGGCGCCTGCATGAGCTGCCGCTCATGTGTAAGCTTATTCATTGCTGTAGAGCTTTTGCTTATTGTAGACTTCCCAGGCATCGTCCCTTCCACTACCGGCGGACTTCCAATGCTCAGAGGATGTAGAGGATCGCCGAGCACTCAGAGTTTCACTCTGGCTGGCCATCTAATCATTAGCGAGGTATAGACTCGTCAGGCGTTGCTCCCATGAGTAGATACTCTTCCTAGCGCTCAGAATGTAGTTACTCTGACAGCTGGTAGCTAACCACACTGCCGGTACTTGCATGTCACTATGCAACTGGCTTCTAACAATAACTCTCAGCATGTAACCGGGCCCTGTGTGTACTCATACACCAGACAGTTGAAATGGCCCCGTTATAGTTACAGCTGTAGTACTTCTTCTCCCCGTGCTCCTGACTGGCCCATTGAAATGAGGGCTTGTTTCTGGCGCATACCCCTACTGGTAGGCTTGGTGCGCATGACTGCTACCTCGCATTCCCTCGTATTGTTTTACCGTAGCGAAAATACTCAACACGTGCGTCGGTAGTACTCTTTCCGATCACTACGCTTTAGCCCTCGATATCGGTCTGAACCTCTGTCCCATTGCTTTGCCTCTTTCCTCAAAGATACTGCAGTGCCAAAAGGGAGTGTTCCGGCGGTTTGACGTTCCGGTAGTTGAATCAGGGGTCGAAAACGTGTTTTTGAAGGTGGGAAACCGCAACTCCGCAATATGCGCGCATACTGGCCACACTGTGCATCAGCAACCCGTGCATGTCTTCAGGAGACACCGGAGGCTCGGGAGACACCCCACCAACTTTAAATCTCTGGAGGCGGTTGGCCCGTTCGGAGGCCTCCCGGGCCTTCGCTAATGCTCAGGAGGCTCTCGCGACGCTCAAGCACGCCCCCTCGGCACTCTCCGGAGCCTGCATTCATCATATCCGGTTACTCTCTCGACGCCTCGCAACGCCGCTACGATGGCCTCCTGAGCCTTTCAAACGCTCCGGGAGGCTCAATATCACTGCACCGAATCTCTAGAGGTCCTCTGGGGCCCGATTCTTGCCTACAGCTCCCCGAACGGGTTTCTTCATCCAGTGTAGTATCGCGAAACCTCAAGGGGTTGTCCCAGCCTACGAGAAAGCCTTTTGGAAGGCTTACCGAGCCTCCCACTTACTACCACTGGATTACTGGAGCGAGTCACCTCTCACGTTCTCTCCCGAGGGCTTACCGGGCCATCTAGTGGTCTCCTAGGGCTATTCCTCGCCCTAGCACTATCTCCCATGCTCTCCAGAGGGCCTACCAATGCCTCCTGCGGTATCATGAGCTAGTTAAATTCATGCCCCACCCTCCCACGCTCTCCAGAGGGCCTACCAAGCCCTCCTATGGTCTCCCGACCCTATTCTTGACACAAATACCCCTCCCCCACTCTCTCCTGAGGGCCTACCAAGCCATCCTATGGTCTCCCGACCCTATTCTTGGCACAAATACCCCTCCCCCACTCTCTCCTGAGGGCCCTCCAAGCCCTCCTGTACTCTCCCGACGCCATTCTTGGCACTGACAACCCTTCCCACACTCTCCAGTGGGCCCACCAAGCCCTCCTGTAGTCTCTCGACGCCATTCTTGGCGCTGGCACTATCTCCTACGGCCTCCTGAGGGCCCACCAAGCCCTCCTGTAGTCTCCCGGCGCTATTCTTGGCACTGGCACCCCTTCACACGCTCTCCAGAGGGCCCACCAAGCCCTCCTATAGTCTCTCGACACCATTCTTGGCACTGGTACCCCTCCCCACGCTCTTGAGAGGGCCTACCAAGCCCTCCTATGGTCTCCCGACCCTATTCTTGGCACTGGCACTATCTCTTACGGTCTCCTGGGCCTCGTCAAATTATCACACTTCTCCCCATGCCCTCCTGAAGGCTTATTGAGCCCCCGAAGAGTCTCCTGAGAGTGATCACTACTCTTGAAGGCGTTACCCCATTGATTCGGTCTCTGAGAGTCTCTCACGCTTCACAACCCCCGAATCTGATTTACTCCGTAATAATAGCTTACAATTTCCCACATCTGTACCTAATAACGAAAGCATCCCTTCAAATAAATAAAAACATCGCACAAAAACACACGAAAATCATTTATCCCCTGGCAACGCGTCGCCAGAGGCATTTGTCGAGGCTTCTTGAGCCTTGGCCGCGCCCAAATCCCTCCCCGTCGCCACCGGGTTTTCTGAGGCATCATCAGTCCCCAATAAAATAGCCTGGTTCCGCTGAGCCTTCCGGCGCGCTTTCGCGGCCCTCCACGCCGCGATGTCTACTGCCAACTGCACATCGTCCTCTTCCCTTCCAACCTTGGATATCACCTCTCGAGGGCCTCGCAACTCCTCAATCTACAGGCCTATCAGTCTCAGTCAAATGCGTGCGCGTCTAAGGTTCTTTACCTTATCTTGAATAGACTCTCTTATTACCTCCAGAGTCCCCAGCTGGTTTTCCTCTGTTCTTCTTCTCCACGTGTTGAACATTCTGGCGTACGTTACTAGGCAAAAGTTAGTACGTCAGGACTCCTAAAGGGCTTGATAAGCCTTACACAGGATATCGGTATTCTGGCTGGGGTTAAAGTGCATTCCTTCCACATAATTGCCCTTTGTCCAACATCGCAAAACAAACCAAATAGCAGTGCAAACTAGACAGATGAATTCCGGGGATATATCATCTACGAACTTAGGATCCTTCGCTCCACGCATCTTGTCACCTTTGTAATATTTTAGAAATATTACTTCCACGATCTCTGGGGCCCAAAATTGTCGACGACTTGTCTAATAGCTGTTAGACCTTTACATAGGCTGGTTGAGCCTTTGAAATGGCCTATAAAGCCCCATAGCATGTTGAAAGGAGCTCTTACGGCATAGTTGTCGGGGTCACTAATGAAACGATCATTCTCGAGTAGATAGTTAACTTTGTCAGCCCTCGTCTCTGGGGTTGTTAGGTCCTTCAAGCCGTATAAGAGGCCTTTTGCGACAAAGTCTTTGATTGCAAACACAAGGTGCGATCTCACTCGTGAACTTGCGATTTGAACCTGTGAATAGTTAGCACAGGGCTAACAAGCCCACTAGGAGGCTTGATCAGCTCTTACCTCACTCTTCGCGCTGTTAATTAGGGTTATGTTTGTATTAAAATGAACGTTAGCCTCCGACCAAAATCGCCGAACGTTAACGGTAAGAGATTCAGGCATTGGCCAAGGCTCCTCAAGCAATGTATGCCGCGAGAGAAGCTCCTTAGCATACCTGATAATCGGCTTTGCCTCCGCTGGCACGTCCCCCCTGTCAGAGCCGTAAACTGACTCTGGCGCTGGTGTGGCACATGCTTGCGTGGGTGGGGTTGCACGATAGGGCTGAGAAGGCGGAGGTGTACGTTCAATGTGATGTTCATTTCGCAATGTACTAGACGAACGAAATGAGGTGCTTGGTAATGTAGACGCGGGCTCGGAAGCTAGGGAAGCCCTGCTCATGGCTCGGGAGGGAGTCCCCGACCTTTTTGAAGTAACCGTCGTACGGCTTCCATACTGCCTGGTGTTATCACCTTATCCGCAACCTACGGGTTGTGGTTAATACCTGTACTGTATTAACTCCCACGGCAGATGAAACAATTGCTTCGGCTGCTGTGCTACTAATTCTTCTCCTAGAGGCTGCAACAGACCTGGCGGAGGCTACAGGAGCCTCCCTTGGCCTCTTACCAGCACGAATTCCCTGGCTGGGTACTGGCGGTGCCCGTGGTGGTGGTGCCCGTGTAGGCCGTGCTCGTGTTGGCGGAGGTGGTGGAGACACCCTTCGTTCAGATAAGGGCATCACGGGTGGGGTATTTTCGTCCCCGGGCTCTTCATAGTCGTCATAATCGTCCTCATAGACATCTACCTCGTCCTCCTCCGCCACTGGGTGATCGTCGAAGTCAATCCACGGCTGTGGGCTTTCTAAAACGCCGTTTACCAATATTTGGCCCCCGGGCGAGCTCAATGGGCCATCTCGATAGCCCGAGGGGCCATGAAAGGATTCTTGGTCAGTATCCAGCTCTGTAGGTGATCCCGACCTCACACTGCTAGCGACACTTGAAACACTCATCGCCTCCCTAAGCCGTTTATTAACAGAGGTGGAGATAGTAGTGTTGGTTGCACCATATTGATCGTCAATGGCACGTTTGGTGGTTCTTTGCCTTTGGGAAGTCATGATAATGTTTGTGGGGAAAAGAATGGCCAGGTAGGCACTGGAGAATGCTTCCGAGGCTCACTATTAATACAGTATGCTTAACAACCTCTAATATTCTTTTTTTTTCTCTTAGTTGGCTAAGCTATATGCAGTCATCCGAATGCTTGGCGAGCAGAAAACTCTGCATTTTCTTGGGCTGAGCTATACCGCTTATAGTCACCCGCCTATCGTCTAAAGGCTTAGGAAGCCTTTTGAATCGCCAATGAAGAAAACGCGGGAGGAAAAACAAATCTTATAAGTAATAATAAATGCTACGATGAGGCGACTAACCCTAAAACAGATAAGAAAGTCTAAAGAGGCAGCTGCACCAGAAATAGAAAAAGAAAAAAACTGCCTAACAAGCTTTGAAGAAGGCTTCTCAAGCCTTCTCTAGCCGAACATACGTGTAGCGCTCACCAAATAGATAAGGTAAGCTAATTCCAAAACAGATATAAAAAGCCTAAAAAGGCAACTACACTTACCAGATACGGCACTTGGCTAATAAAAAAAATAAAAACTGATCAACAAACCAATGATCCCCCAAGAAGGCTCCCCGAGCCTCCCAAATAGCTTAACATGCCGCCCCTAGCTAGCATTATCAGTTACCGTCATCGTCATCCTCATCGTCGTCGCCTTCTTCTTCGACATCGTTTTCGTCTCCACCTATGCCGCCGCTATGCCTAAATAGATGGTTTTTCTCAGCCAATGTCCAAATCTTGAGGCGGTTATAGTGGCAAGACATAAAGCCAATGCCATTCGGAAACTTCAATCTATACCGCCTAACTAGCCTACGCCCTATTGTTTGGTATCTTTCCACCCGTTCATCAAATACCGCCATTAACTCCTGGAAACCGGTATCGCTTTGGGGCATAGCAAAATTCAGACCAGTGTTATTTACCTTATCAATAAAGGTAAGCATTTGCTCCTCCTTATCGACTTCTATCATTTGGAAATCGTGTTCATCCAGGTCCTCCCACCCATCAGGCGGAGGAGTTTCAGGTCTATGTCTAGGCCCGGCAAGCAGTGCATGAGGCCTATGGAGCACGGCACAAAGCCTCAAAGGTTTGGCTTCACTGGTCTTGAGCCAGGCCTCCAACTCCTCCGCGTCGCCAATACGAACATTTTCCGGATTAAGTGCATACGCTGCCCCAGCCGTCCTAGGGGGTCCGTTTGACATGGCTCCGTAGAAGGCCCGGATGACCCTCGGGGGCAGACCGTCGGCAACTTTTGGGACACGCTTCATTGCGACCTTGGCCAACTCTGCTAAGGACACCTCCTCGAGGACGCCTATAGACACCGGTAGTGCTGCTGGACCGTACCAGTCAATCTCACGGTAAGCCGCGCTGACGACGGCTCCCATCTTCGTTGGGTCAATAACATTTACGGTTATTGCAGGCCTGTAGGGTATTCCCATGGCCTTCCAAACCTCTGCCACAGCCAAGGTGGGATTCTCGTTGGACTCGCCTCCCCCCTCATTGATCTCGGCTAAAGCCCTGGCTCCACGGGTGTGGGCTCTGTTCACTTTGTGGGATCGGTCGCCAATGAGATAACCGAGGGCTGCTTTGATCTTCTCGGAGGCCTCCGAGCCCTCCCTCATGTAACTTTGCTTTAAGGCTTTGAGAACTTTGTGATTTATAAGCCAATCCCTCAATTGCTCGAATAAATCAAGTCCAGAGGTTGTCTTGTTGACTCAGCCAATTCTTGTCATCTCGTCACTGAGCGCAGTACGGAGAGCCCTGTAGACATCATCTCTTCCGGTAAGTTGCAGAATCTCCCTCATCTGTTCAATACTGGTAATCTTATAGGCAGCTGAGGCTCTTCCCCTGCGTGGTGGCATGCTTGGTGAATCGGCTGAAGCCTTTTGAGCCTTTTCAGGGGTCGCAGGAGCCTTTGAACGAGCCTTTGCTGATTGGGGTTCATCGGGTTCGTCGTGGATAGTTGTGTCGCTTTCGGCGTCGCTTGGTGAATCGGCTGAAGCCTTTTGAGCCTTTTGAGGGGTCGCAGGAGCCTTTGAACGAGCCTTTGCTGATTGGGGGGTGTCGGGTTCATCGAGGATAGTTGTGTCGCTTTCGGTGTCGCTTTCTTCGGGATTATCAGTATATTCAAAGGGGGGTCGACTCGGAGTTGGGGGTTTGGAGATTTTGCTTTGTTGCTCTTCTTGCAAGGCGGAGCGGCCTACCTCGAGGCTGGATGCGCGTGGTCGAGAGCCTGTTAGGCCTTCGGGTCCAGGAGAGGCTCCACCAGAGGCTTCCGGGAAAGATTCTGTATCTGTAACGGGGGCAGTCTGTCTATGTATCGCTAGAATCCAATAGAATGGATGCGGCCGTGCAAGATAGAAATCAGGTGCAGATTTATTCAAAGATACTATCGCTTAGAACTCAATAATCTTTAAGGGCTCTGCTACCGATAATAGGAGATGATTCTGATGATGAAGATGAGGATCCCGGGCAGTTGGGCGGGAATGATCCTGAGTACTTCTACTCCAAAGGACTCTATTCTCTGCTCCTACTTCCTTACTAAGTTCCGGTGCTGCCTTCTAGCGGAAAAGGAAGCAATCCCATCGCTACCCCGCTTCTCTCTAAGCGTCAGCGAGTGCTTCCAGTTCCGAAGGCGACCACCCTTAGTCAAAGCCTTTTTAACACCTGCAGCCTTGGTTGCCACACAACTGGGGCCTGCATGGATGAGCTGCCGCTCAGGTGTAAGCTTATTCATTGCTGTAGAGCTTTTGCTTATTGTAGATTTTCCCAGGCATAGTCCCTTCCACTACCGGCGGACTTCCAATGCTATGAGGATATAGGGGATCGCCGAGCACTCAGAGCTTCACTCTGGCTGGCCTTCTAATCATTGGCGAGGCACAGACTCGTCAGTCATTGCTCCCATGAGTAGATCCTCTTCCTAGCGCTCAGAATGTAGTTACTCTGACAGCTGATAGCTAACCACACTGCCGGTACTTGCATATCACAGTGCAACTGGCTTCTAACAATAACTCTCAGCATGTAACCGGGCCCTGTGTGTAGTCATACACCAGACAGTTGAAATGGCTCCGTTACAGTATCGGCTCTACTAGCTCTGCTTGCAATTTCCGGTACAACTGTTTTTGTTGCAGCGAGGGTGGCGTGGTGGTCCTTGATTTGCTGTATGTGTGCTTCGTACGCTGCTAGGAGAGCGACCGTGTCAAAGTCTTCGAAATCGTTGTCTTCAGAGGCCTGGGAGTCCTCTTCAACTGGAGATGGTTCTTCGCCTTCCTCGAGATAGTCAAATGCTAGTACCAAGCGGTCCGCGTATGCCTGTGTGCTTTGAGAGGCTTGGGGAGATTCCGGAAAGGCCTGGTCTTCGACTGCAGGTGCTTCTTCTGAAAGTGCTTCTTCGGCCGGAATGGATGCTTCGACTGGAGGGTTGACGAAGGCCGGAGGGGGTGCTATTGGGGTTGGGGTGGATCGCTAATGCGCGGACGTTTGCGTTCTCGTGAGTCTTCGTCGGAGGAATACCAAGCTCCAGGGCAATGGGGGAATTCTCCCAAAGATCGAGTCTGTGTATAGATATGTGAATGATATGTATTTAAAATTAGAAAGGTCAACGTACCATTTTATATATCCGTGGGTTATATTCAAGTGAACGTTAGTTGAAATCCTGACCCTAGCTTAACTTGGGGGCCTGGGGGAGTATCAAGAGTGCGAATGGCCTACTAGAAAGCTCCGTGAGCGTGTAGGGGGGTGCCTACATATATTCTCCTAGATGAGGATCCTATACTACGTCATATATCGAGTTGGTATTGTTTGCTGAAGTTGGGTCATGCTATATCACTCGGGTTGGTGGTTCGGACCTTTTCAAAGGCCTAACAAACACATTTATGAGCTCAATAAGCCTAACCACCATGCACTAGGTCAGTTTTTGGTTTAGCGTGTGGAGAGCTATTTGCCAAGACTAGGTTGACAAATCAATTGTACCAAGTCATTTCTTTTGGATGGCTTTCAGAGCCTTTTAGATGGCTTTAGGAGCCTTTTAGATGGCTTGAGGAGCCCTCCCGGACACCTCTGCGTTAACGGGGTCAGTTTTGGTTTAGTGTGTGGAGAGCTATTTGCCAATACTAAGATGACAAATCATTTGTGGCAAGTCATTGGAGCTTTTTGGATGGTCTTAGGAGCCCACCCGACACCTCCGCGTTAGCGGTAACATCAAATATCAATCAACAATGAGATCACGATGCCCTTTCTGCATAAGGAGCTACGCAAGTCCTGGTAGTTTCGATCGACATCTTTCAAGAGTCCACGCAGAGAAGGCAGTTGAATGGTACAACAGTCAGCTTACACGCCGTGCTGAGGATTCGGTGAGCCTTGTAGAAGGCCCGGGAGGACTATACGGAAATGAATTGTTGAATGTTGGGACCTTTTCCTTGGGTCCCACGAGCGTAGACCAAAGCGAGTCTGATAATGAATCAAACGATGACACAGACTCGTTGACAGAACGAGACAGCATGTTCAGACCAGCAACTACCGTGTATGAGGGTGCAGGAGAGCAACTTTTCCCCTCCACAGGATATTCCGAGAGCTCAGAGAGCCTTCTGTCCAACCCGTGGCAACCTTTCAAATCAGCAAAGGAGTTTGAATTATCACGTTGGTTCCTGCGATCCCACGTATCGCAGGGTCAAATAGACGATTTTTTTCGAGCGGCAGGCGCAGGGAAAGGCTCCTACCACAATGGAAAAGGCTTTACACGCCATCTTGATGAGATGGTTTCTAGGGACGGTTTAGGAAGAGAAAGTTGGATGCACTCAGAGGTCGAGTTGGTGGGCGAGAAGATTGCATACTATTACCGGGACCCTATGAGTGTGGTGCGATTCCTTCTGGGGCAACGTGCATTCAGGGAATCTTTGGTGTATGCCCCAACGATGGAGTACAATGAGCTAGGCGAGCGAATGTACGGTGAAATGCATATGGCAGACTAGTGGTGGGAGATGCAGGTTTGTAAAGCCCTCGTGAATGCTTACTGAGCCTTTTCTAACGGAGGTTAAGAATACTCTGCCAGAGGGATCAACAGTGGTACCAGTGATTTGCGCATCAGATGGAACGCACCTAACGAATTTCAGTGGTGACAAGAAGGCCTGGCCTGTTTACTTAACGATTGGAAATATCACTTCAGAAATACGCAATAAACCCTCCAGTTTTGCATTCATACTTCTGGCTCTTTTACCGGTTCCACGGAAATTGGGAGTACGTGCAAATGAACAGCGTCGAGAGAACCAAATGGCCCTTCACAAAGTTTTGGGAGAGATTTTGGAAGGCCTTCAGGGCCCTGCACAAAACGGTGAGCTTATAGCGTGCGCTGATGGCTACGATCGCCTGTGTTTCCCTATACTATGTGCCTGGGTTGCCGATCAGCCAGAACACGCCTCGCTACAAAATATCAACAATCATGCCTGCCCACGATGTGAGGTTGATTTCAAAGGCTTGGGAAGCCTTCGCGAAAGCCCGCCACGGATTCAGGAGCGATATGTTGAGATCGTAAAGGAATATGAGGATAATAGGTCTAACGCAGCACCCGTGGAATACCTTGTATCAAAGTCTTTAAAGACCCTCTACAATGCCTTTTGGGCCTTGCCGAGGACCAGCGCCTATGATCTCCACAAGCCCGACATACTACAAAATATCTACCTGGTACTATTGAAACACATCATGGAGTGGGTTCAGGGGTTTCTTAAGAAACACAATCGAATAGAGGAGTTTGATCGAGCTTGGTACTCCATCGGGCCTTATCCAGGGCTCGCTGCATCAGCAAGCTCGCCTATTACCCAGGGCGCAGCCCCTACGTCCTGGCGGGCATTCTGCGCCACGAGCGCCCAGCGCGTCCGGCACCGCCAGAGTACAACCTTCGCGCCAGGCTCCGCCGCAGGACCGTCCCACTCTCTGGGACCGCCAGGAGATATGGCTCACGTCTGGAGGGCACTCGCCAATGCTCTGGTCGCCTGGGCCGCCATGAGATTCCCTCCCCCTCCGGAGACGCTAGGATGGAGTGACTCCGCCCACAGCACCTAGGAACTTTTGCTTCTTTTGATTACGTCAGTAGTACACGCGAGCACTTCCCAATGCTCTCACAGTTTTCTTGAATGCTCTCACGGCACGACGAATGCTCTCACGGCACGGCGAATGCTCTCACGGCACCGCGAATGCTCTCACGGCACCGCGAATGCTCCCGCGAATGCTCCCGCGAACGCTCCCGCGAACGCTCCCGCGAACGCTCCCGCGAGGGCTTCCGCGAGTGCTCCCAGAGCACTCACCAGTGCTCACAGAGCTGAGGCATTCGTCATACCCACTCAAGGTGAGGCAACCCTCACTTGGGCTCCTTTGGATTGATACACCGTCCTCAAAGGATAGGAAGGCCGCACCAGTCCCTCAAAAGATATCTAACGTGGGTATCCTCAACGCCGCTGTACGGTCAGTCGCGGGATACTGATACGAGCACTGTCCTGTATACTGGTGACGACTACCCAACCTTTGACGGACGTGTATGTTTCTGTCGATTCGTGAAAGGCATAATTAGCCTTGAGGTTGAGGCCATGGTACGGCTCGTCTGAAAAGCTCAATGTCCATGCATAAGCAGCAAACATGGACTGGCATTGACCTCCTGGAGCGAGCTTGCTGGATAGCCAGACTCAGATACTGAGCGGCCGAAACTTTACCTCCTTCTTCCAATCCGCATGCATAGCAGAACGACACGAATTTTGAATTAGAGAGTCCAATTGGGTCTAACGTTCCTAGAGCACTCAAGAATGCCCTCACGGCTTTACAAGTATTCAACTAAATTCATTCCACGTACGCAAGTCTATCCTAGTATTTACCAACCAATTACCAGTCTCCACCTCAAACAAATGGGCCATTCCCAATATACTCCGAATATTAACGACCCACATCCTCTTCCTCCTCCTCCTACAAACCTTCAGGAGCCCATGTGAGCTATCAGCGATACCACGATCCTTTGCCTCGAGTAGCTCCACTATACATAGTCTATGTGCTCGCCCCCCACTGTCCCGCAGCTTGAACAAAGCCTCGACACGTCCTGGTAAGCGTCCCCGAAACACTCCCCACTCCTCTGAGGACGCTACCGACACCCATACCCAATCCTTTCTTATTTTCCCTTTCCTAAAAGCCGCGTTTCCCGTACACCTGATATTGTGAACCTCGTACACCTCAGGTCTTTGGAAGATTGGTATCGGAACCTGCAAACATGTGAACATCTCCACCCGGCGCTCTAAAATGCTCTCAGAGCTTCCGGCAAAGCTTTGAGAGCATCCCGCATCCTCTGCATACTCCTTTATCAGGCGATATAACGTGGTATGGCTTATTTGCAGTCCATCCGCAATATTGAAAAGTCTTTCCGATTTCGTGGAGGGGTTGCAAAGACGCCTTAGAGGCAGTCGGCCTTCTACTATGGATCGTTCATTTGGTGTTTTTTTCCGGTCTTCGATTTTAAAAATCTCAAGTAACTCCTTCAGGTTATCTCGATGGCTCCAAAAGATGTCGTCAGTGCTCTCAGGACCTCCAACAATGTCTTTCAGATTCAGCATTCGAATCTCTAACGCCAACCGCCGCCCCCCATAGTCCAGTATCTGCGTTGCAGCATCGACCTTGTTGGATGCTCCGTATGCCTCTTTTATCTGACGTACATGGGCGAGTTCGCTGATGTCGGTGGAGTACTGGGGAATGCTCCCAAAGCGCTCGACATGTTCCCGATAGTGCGTTAACACGTGCAATTTGATGAAGTTGAAGTGAGACCTTTCCCGTATCTCGCGAATCTCCTCCAAACCTCGCTGAGCGCTCTGGGAGCCTGAGGTCTTCACAGCTTTTGTCCGATCTCTCGCATCCTTAACCGTCCTCTTGTACGCCCGGAATTCTAAAAAGATATCCTTGTGCTTATGGAAATCCTCGAGATAGCTCTCCATATAATTCAGTGTGCTCGTCGTATGACTCCCATACTGCGCCATTAAGTGGAAGTCGATTAAGCCTCGTACACATTTCAATGCCTTTGCGAAGTCGCCCCTGACAGCCACCCCCGGGTTTCTCAAAGCAGCCGCGAGTGCTCCAAGAACGACCCGCCCCAGATTTCTCATCTCCTTCCCTTGCCATTGGGTTGTGGCACGATATGCCTTGTTCGGTACTGCCAGTCCAGGGTAAGGCGCAATCGAGGCCCAAGCCTTGTCAAATTCCTCCAATCGATTGTGCTTCTTCAAGAAAGCCTGAACCCACTCCATCATGTGCTTCAACATCCCTAGGTAGATATTGTGCAGAATGTCCGGTTTGTTGAGATCGTATGGATTAACCCTCGGCATACCCCAGAAAGCATTGAAGAGTGTCTTTACTGATCTCGCGACAAGGTATTCCACCGGTCCCAGGTTTCCCGGGTTCTCCCTGAATAGCTTTACCCTCTCCCGGTAATCCTCGTGATCGCGCGTAGGGCTCCGGCGAGTGCTCCCAAGACTGTGGAATTCCACCTCGCATCTTGGACAAGAGCTAGTACTAATATTTTGTAAGTTTGAATGCTCAGGTTGATCAGCGATCCAACCCGACAACACCGGAAAGCATAGACGTTCGTACCCGTCGGCGCATGCGATTAGCTCGCCTTCCTGAGAGCACTCCCGAATGCTCTGAAAGATCTCCCCAAGGGCGCGATGCAGCGCCATTTGACTCTGACGTCGTAAAGCGGAATTAGCGAGTGAGTTCTTCCCGAGCTTAGGTGGGACTGGCAGTAGCCCTAGGAGAATTAACGAATGCCCGGTGGGCTTGCTCCGGACCGATGACTTGATGTTCCCGATGGTAAGATAGATTGGCCAGGCTTTCTTGTCCCCACTAAAATTTGTCAAATGTGTGCCATCTGACGCGCATATAATTGGTACCACAGTCGACCCCTCCGGTAAGGTATTCTGTCCAGAAAGCATTAGCGACTGCCTCTAGAGCACTTGTGAGGCTTACCAGACCTGCGTCTCCCACCACCAATCTCCCGTATGCATTTCCCCGTACATTCTCTCGCCAGATTCATTATGCTCTACCACTGGCGCGTACACCAATGACTCCCGAAAGGCCCGTTGGCCTAGAAGATATCGCACAATTACCATTGGATCCCGGTAATAGTAAGGGATTTTCTCTCCCCCAATATCCACCTCCGAATGATGCCAGCTCGCCTTTCCCAATATGTCATTCATTTCGTCCAACCTCTTTATAAAACCTCGCCCAGTCCTGTAGGAGCATTCGCCACTGCTTGACGGAGCGTGTAGAAAGAAACTGTCGATATTTCCTTGTGAGGCCTTCGACAGTATGAAATAACGTGCCATTCTAAACTCGTATGCTGAGTTGAATGGGTGCCACGGGTATCGGAGAAGGTTTTGTGAGCATTCGTCGTAGTCCTCCGAGCGGTAGAGACGCTCCCCAGCACCCTCGTAAATCGTTGTCGCTGCCTCATGCCTATTTGCATCTCCATCTGTCTCTTCCATCATAAAATATGATTCGGATTCCAGATCTGAATTATTATCGGGATCTTGGTCATGATAATTGATACTGTTGCTCTCCGAACTATCCGAGTCGTCATGGGCATCTGAATAGGAATCGTGAATGCCTTCCGGGCTGTCGTGAGTGTCATCGGGTGCCTCTTGATCGCGCTCCAGGAGTAAAAATTGGTTTCCCAGCCATTCATCTGCTTCAAATGGATGTGTAGTTCGAAGATGTTTATCGAAGTTCGCGGAGGAGCTGTACCGCTTGCTGCAAAAGGGGCAAGACGATTTCATTGAAGTCTCATGATGCTAGCAAAGCACTCCTGAGTGCTCTAAAAATTTGGTTTCTGCCAAGGCCGAGGAGGCTCTTTCCTGCAGGTGCTGCTGCAGAGTGCTCGAATGATTTGATTTGTCAGCCAATGAGGCTCCTCTCACCTGCACCCCGGTCGGCAAGGCTGATTTTCAATACGAGTCTGATGTCATACATCACCAACCTAATACAAACATCAACACCAACACGAAGAAACACCCACCACCCCAATCAGGCGGCCAGTTATGCTAGATTCTATCGCCCTGAGCATCTGCACTCTCTCCCTGAGCACTCGCGGAGTCTCTTCAGATCGAGACAGTGTTCTCAGCGCCAAATTCAACACTAATATCGACTACGAGCTCAAAGAATACATTCTCTCCGAATCAGCTTCCTAGAGGACAGAGTACCAACACCAACAAGAACACAAGCACCAACCCCAACACCAGAATGTTATCGACGTCACCATTGGTACCGTCAGAGCATCCCGAGTGCGCCTGGAGCATTTAGATCAACGTCATATATTGAAGCAAACATTGAGTACGAGCACCCTCGAGTGCTTCTAGAGCATTCGTGGGTGCTCTCGGAAGCGTGATAAGCTCAAGAAAAAAGCTGATCGTACTCGGTATAAGAGCACCCCTCCCTTCCTTCAAGTTCGTGAGAAGTTCCTAACCACCTTCAAGTTCTCCTCTACCTATCACTTCAAGTTTTCCATTGCTTTCAACATTACCTGTTGAAATCTCATCCTTCAAGTTCCTCCGTTTTCAAGCGATTTAACCTTTGCAATCTTTATAAATAAGATGGTATTTCTCTCTCCTAATCCAATTAATTTTAGAACCATACTCACCACAGTGATACATT